TTTTTTTTTTTTTTTCTTCATTACTTGAACCTAGATCAACCTTTTTGAGATACACTTTCTCATGGACTGGACCTTCTGTGCTTTTTTTCTGCTTGATTTACTTTGAAAATACCACGTTCTTGATATTTTTTTTGACTTCAAGTTTTATTTTTTGGTACTGAGACTTAATTTCAAGATTTAAATGTTTGTAGAGGTAATACTTCATTGAGAAAATGTGAACATACGCATCCTATCAAAAATGGTAATTTTTATTTTACTATATTATTTAAGACGCGTGTGGGCCCAGGATTTAGCTCGAAGGCGCAGCAGCTGCCTGGCAAATGCAAAGCCCTGAGTTTTGAGTCCTGGTACCAATAAATAATTAAAATAACAACACATACTTGGACCAAATTGAATTTGGTATTCTTTAGTTTGGTGTTTCTAACAATGGAATAAATTATTTTCCCTAAAAGTCAGGACCTTGCCTTCCAGCCATACTTCTTTCAAGACAGATCGCTGGCAGGTATTACAAGTTGGAGCTCAAAAAAGGAAACCCTCGATACACCTGCCAACTCGATGTTGCACGGTTTTTGCATCTAAGATGTATCATACTACATATTTGCAAATGAATACACTCAGCCCCAGGTTTTCCTTCCTAGACTCCTCCCCCGGGTTAAGTCGTCACCTTGTGCATCTCTAACCACTGCACCGGTTTCAAAAGTATCTCTGTTGAGATACAATTTATCCACCGAAAGCGCACAATTAAGTGTTTAAGTGGCCATCACTAACATCTAGTTTTAGGCCTTTTCCTGCTAGAAGCAAGGGTGTCAAGGAGCCGTCACGCCCACGCCCACGCCCACGCCAGAGCGGTGCACCAGCAGACGTGTTCGCGCTCGAGTTTGCGCTGCGTACGCGCGCTGCGCGTTCTAGTGTCCCAGCGTCTGGCCGCGGCGCGCGGGGCGGGGGCGTGGCGGAGCGGGGCGTGGCCGGCGCGGTGGGGGGCACAGGGGGCTCGGCGCGGGGGGGAGATCCGGAGGCGGGGGCGCCGGCGCTGCGCATGCGCGCTACATTGTTTTGACTGAAAATGCCGTCGGTTTCGAAAGCGGCGGCGGCGGCGTTGAGCGGGTCCCCCCCGCAGACCGAGAAGCCGACCCACTACAGGTCAGTGCCCAGCCCGCCGCCGGCGCCGCCCAGTAGCCGGGGAGCGCCCTGCGCGCTCCCGGCCTGGGCTTGGGGTGTCGCGGCAAAAGGTGCGCCCCTCGCGCCTTCGCCCCCAGCCGTCGGGCTCCGGTGCGGGTCTCGGCCTTGGTGGGCCACGCCGTCGGGACGCGAGCCGCCGCGCCTGGCTCGGGCGGTGGACCCGAGGTCGGGGGATGGGCGCGCTCCTGGACACGCGAGTCGGCGCGCCTGTGGCTGCGATCGGGAAGCGGGCCCCGGGCTTGGGGTACGGGCAGCACCTGGTCTTGGGATAGGCGTGCGATCCTGTAACTCAGGCGCCAAAGCCTCGGGTCGGGGGGCGGCGCCCAGAGTCTAGGGTGGCTCCAGGGCTCGGGGCAGGAGGCCGCGCGGGCTTGGGGTCGGCGTTTGAGATTGTGGGTCGCGGGGCCGCGCCTGAGGTTGGGAGTCGCGTCCGCAGTGGGGATGGAATTGCACCTGGGGAACATCTGGAGTGGGAGTGGGGGGCTTGCACCTGGGACTGAGGAACCGCGCCTGGAGTCGGGAAGGTCGCGCTTAGGGCGGGGAACAGTACCTACGATCTGGGGAGCGCGCCCTGGTGGGGTCGGCTTCTGGAATCGTCTGGGGTTTTGGGGGGGGGGCGTTGTTGCTGGATGGAGGACTGCTGC